CTAGGCACAGAAAGGGTGCTACAGCTGGACAATTTTCCAAAGTAAGGTTTGAACTTACCAGTTCAGTTTACATTGGCATGAGGAGTATCGCAGACGAGCTCTCAGTGAGTACTCCACTCACACCAATTTAATTTGGAAATAACCGTAAGCGTACATTTTGTTTACTTATAAAAATGACTAAGGGGAACTTGTGAAATACAACTATCCGAATGCGGCTCAAGAATACTGAAGCCAGACAAGGACTATCGAAGTAGTTTGAGCGATTCAAAAGGTAATGTTGGTAAGGTGAAGACGGTTGGGAAATTTGAACGGAGATTCCACCCCGTAAGTGAAGCCAATCTAAGCTCACAAGCAGCGTAAAACTGCTCAGTCCTTATTGGGATTCATCAGCACTGCGCACCTCTCGAAACTCTAAAGAGTTTCGAACCCGCGACCTCTGGGCTAGTGGTGTGAACGCGACTGCGGGGGGCTCGTATTTTGTTGACATTAGTCTACCAGAACTAGCCACCATGATGACCAAGCCAGTCATCGTGCCTCATTATTGCACCCTGAGTAAAAATCCATGGTCTCTTCTAAAGAGATTTTGTGGTGCATTCTATCAGACGTTTTTATTGGTTCCCACAGGCTAGACATTTATAAGAATTGATTTGTGAATAGTTTGAGATTAAAACTTGCATGAGCCCCGAAATCGGTTACAAATATTCCACCGCCCTGTGACCTACGACGAGTTCAAACTGATGCTCAGAAGAACCGTCGACAAAAACAAACAACTGGATTTATTTTTTGAATGATTCAAAAGTGGGTCAATTCTTCTTCCTTCTTGTGACACCACAAATAAGTTCGATAGATTTATTTAATGAGGTTCGCTGTCGAAATGTGGGTAACTCGGTTGAGTTTATTGGTTGTTGATCAGGTGACTGTTAAATTGTTCGCCGAACTTGACAAATGACTTGATCGTATTTCCTCACCATACTAGTGTAACGGCCTCACAGGAAAGGGACCTCTCATCTGAGGCGGGTTCCACAATGGTGTTGTGTCGAACTATTCGTTGCCTGGGTGAGTAGATGGGTTGCTGAGCTGTTGATCTGTTCGCCAGACTTGACAACTGGCTTGCGGCGAAGAGATCAACAGCCAACTCGTCCGAGCTACGAAGACACTTTACCAAGTTCAGTCGAATCACCAATGGTTTAGTTCTTTCAGCAGACATTTTAGTCCCATTTCTTTCATCTTTCTATTATAAAGCTTTATTCAAATAAACTGATATGATTTTAAAACAGTAAATTACCGCCGTTCTTAAGTGATTTTTCTGTCAGTGCTGATGCTGGTGAGCAGCGCCTTTCAAGCAAGCCCTGTTGGCAAATTTTCATGAATCTTTCTCTGCGTTTGGATACAATCTTGTCCAATAAAAATCGTGCCCCTGCAAGTTAGCTCAAGAGCGGCAAATCGATAAAGACTTTTCACGTGATTAGCTTGCTCAGTAGTCTGCATTGAGCAGTAGACAGATTCAGTCGATAAGTGATTGATTCTTCCCAGAACTATCTGTTTCTACAATTGTTTTTTGAACGACTCACCTTTCCAACGTCTTATTTATGTCTTATTTCAGTTCATCTGACTCAAATTCAGATAGTGAACCTGAACTGGAAGTTGGAGCCCAGAACGAGCTCCTTTTCAATGTGGATGACACAAAAGGTTTTGAAATTTTGAAAACGCAGTGCAAACTCACGGCAGAACCGGTCAGTAAGCGAGCCAATGGGGGGAAGAAGATCAAAGGAAAAGTTGGGAGATCAGGCAGGAGTCATGGCACGGGGCTGGGAAAACGCTCTTTCACGTTACCATGTCTGAGAAGCGGTCGGCGGTGTAACACGGAGAGTTCCGGTGAAATCAGTGACCTTTCCCGAGAAAACTCTGGAGCAGAAAGTGCCAGGAAAAACGTACTGACGCAAAAGCGAAAGAACGAGGTAGGTCTGTTTTAACCAACTTTCCTAATGGGGATCCCTGTGTGGTAAGTACATCCACATGAATTGTGCGTGCACACACACACCGCGGCTCTGTGATCCACGGAATCGACAGATAGCCGAATCATCTGATCTCAGTGAGTGGCTGCGTGAAAAATCACTCTGGCACATCTTGCCCCTAACAGTGCGTGGATTCATCTCGTGCAATGAATCCGTTGACAAAAGCGTTGTACTTTTAACGCTAAGCTTTATCAGGCTGTGTCACGGCTTTAAAACAGTTTACTTTCAGAGAAACTGCCGTCAACTGGACCTATTCCAATGGAAAGTGAACCACTAAGATTACCCCTCAGATCGGTCATCTAGATCAGCTGGATGTCCAGCATTGAGTACAGGATGAATCCGTGAGTGCTAATTGCTTCACGAACGGCTACGTAGAAAGTGATATCTTTGATCTTCTCATCTTCGTTGGGTGTGGTTGGTATCCCCGATAAAAACTGACCCCGTTGTTCTTTGTCTTCTGTGAATTTTTACCGCACGAAGGGTGTTTCGAGATAGAACCAGCGGTCTTCGCCGTACATATACACACGGTTAGTTCTCCATGACATAGTGCTATCCCCTCACAGATCTCAGCCATCTTTAGGATCTTCTCCATCGAAGGCATTTACACAGAGCGACCGGAAATGATCAGTTTTGGTGTTCTTTCAAACGGTACGCAATGCTCTTCTTCCTCATTCTTTATAACAAAAGGCCCACGAAAATTAAAGTGGGACTGAAGCCAATCAATAGAGTGCTTGAGAACTGCTGCTTACAAGTATATTGTGAAGAATTCAGGTAAAATCTGAGAAAGAATACATAGCTTTGGTATGAGCTTAAGGTAACCTCGGCCAGGAGGAAGTCTCTGGTGAAATCCTCTCTCACAATCAACACCGCATGAGTAGCTCAAAGGAAGAAAAATCTCACAAAGTGAGTGAGTCTTCTTCCTGAGAGCCAGGTCTGGTGATGTGAATCCCGCACCTGAAGGATCATCATCACCATCATCGACAGCATGACATCAGTGTTCAACACCGATGCTTCACTGCCGTACAACCATGATTTATTTGGTAGACTTATTGTAAAGAAAAGAATAAAGATGGATGGGGAACGGACTTAGTGCTAGCTTAACACAATCATTCCGAGTTGTCTATACCCCCAGACACTCACTCAGGCGATCTGGATATAAACTGACAACAGGAACGCCACTGACATCAGTTGGCAGCCATAACTTGTAGTGTCTCCAACCAGGCACAGTGAGGATCACGCGGTCCCCATCCTGGAAGGCGAGTAGCACCGACAGCACCCAAGCGTTT